GGGAAAATTTACAAGATGGAAAAGCAATATCACACTGATATAAGCAATAAATATAGAAGGCCATAATGCTATACCTGGCCACCATGCAATTTCTAGATCAGGGAAAAAAGGGTATTAGATCTGGTGACAAAAGTGCAACAACACATTACACAGAAAATAGAGAAGACAAAGAAGTTGAAGCTTCAGCTTTAAACCATCACAGATGCGACCTGTGTTACCTGAGTATATTTAATGAAGTAGATATGCAGTGCAGGGAAGAACACTAAATACTCACATATGAATGGTATTCCCAACTTCTAAGTCACCATCTCTGACTAGTTCCTAAAAACATTGAAAAATATACATCTAGCAAGCAGTATTACATTGCATAAGTATGTGCTACATACAGATATCCACATTTCTCATATTCTGTGACATTGTTAACTACCTAATTTCCAAAACCCCTTCTTGAGTTATCCTCTAAAATTTCAGCAAAAACTCCATCTGCATTCCAGAACAGGCTGCTACAAATGTACGTAAGAGGCTGAAACGAACATGTATAGAATAATAGAAACGCCTCCCCCCAACACACACGTACCTGACGCTAATGCTAATTAATAATAATAGAACAAATTATAAGAAAACGATGACAGTTACAATTTATTGGTTGGTTGACAATGTTATCTGAACTCAATCTTTAGTTTTATGCCCCCCCCCCCAAAAAAAAAACCCGCACGTCTTCAAATATTTTTGACCTCACATGTGCAAAAAATATGCAGAGAAAAGAACGGTTCGGTACGATTTTTCCTACACAAACTACTACAGTAGGATGCAATTTTTAACTTAAAACCGCTACAATTGTAAATAGATTCACCAAAAAGGAGAAATCTTAACTACTTACCAATTTCTGTTAATGTCTCACAACACTAACTCTCAGGCCGCCGCCATCTTTGTCACCTTTGACCTTATTGAGGGACAATTCTTTGTAAAAGGGGAGGGGTGTAAGTTTTCCACACAGCAAAAGTTGCAGTGTAAAACACAGCAAAAGTTGCAGTGTAAAACACAGCAAAAGTTGCAGTGTAAAACACAGCAAAAGTTGCAGTGTAAAACACCAAAAGTTGCAGTGTAAAGCACCAAAAGTTGCAGTGTAAAACACCAAAAGTTGCGGTGTAAAACACCAAAAGTTGTGGTGTAAAATTTTGTACTTGTCGGCCACGGTACAATATAATTACAGAATTACTGTAAGTCTTCATTTGCGTGATTTGTATTAATCATGTTCATCTCTGTCTAGGCTACCTACATACCAAGAATGATGAAAATATGTTGTTCCTTTCTGGACTTATCCACTTTAAAAGATTTCGCCAGGAACTCCCCTGCAGTTGCATAACAAGCTGCTAGGGGGACAAAAACCACACGATTTAATCCTCACCAAAAAGTCAAGACCAATGTTAGCATGTTCAGAGCAAAAGGTACAGAAAACAGAATTTCTGCTGCAGTACCAAGGTCAGACACTAGGAGGCCCATATTTGAGCTTGCCCTTGTCTTCCTACGACCCTCAAATATCATAACAATCCATGAAGGCGTTCTGAAGTTAGGATGACTACAAATGTGCAGAAACACACACACACACACACACACGCACACACACACACACACACACACACACACACACACACACACACACAAAGACCAAAAACAATACCTCCAATGGAGGTAAAAATTACAAAAAACTGTATAACTAGTTTTATGCTTTGTCACTATTGACCGTGCATGGACAAAGCATGGTGTTTTCAAGAATCTGATCAGATCAGAAGAATCAGTTTGTTTAATTCCTTCATTCTGGGTGAGTGTGAGCTAAGTCTGTTTGTTCCATGTATGAGGTCATGTATGAACAGTAATGTCAGTAATCTCCATTTTTGTGTGGTTCTTAGTGCAGCATCAAGAAGAATGAGCCTGTGAACCTGAATTTCATGACAAACAGTCCATCCAAAATCACTCTGACCAT